CAGCTCGCTGTCGGGCCCCTGGGGGTGCAACTTGCTGTCTGTTGGGCCCCTGGGGTGCAGCCTGGGGGACTTTCTCTGCTGCTGCTCCTCAGTCGGCCTCTCCCTCTCCCGACCCTTTGAGCTGCCAGCAAACTCCCCACAGGGACCCCTGCCAGGGGACATGTCAGGTGAGGAAGGCAGAAAGGCTCGCACAAGTCAGGAGGAAAGAAATAGGAGAGAAGAAGGAACAGAAAGAGAAAGAAAGGTGGTTACAGGACAGAGGGAGGTGGAAAGGACAGCATGAGGAAAGGAGGGAGAAGAGAGGGATGGGAACTGAAATGGAGAGAGACAGGGAGAGGGCAGAGGGTCACGGAGGCGAGGAGAAAGGGGAGGAGAGTTGGTCCCCTGAGCTGGGGGCCCTGGCTGTTTGAGCAGCTGATGGGAGACAAAGTGGGACTATGCTCCCAGCTCCCAGCCAGTGGCAGAGCAGAGCTGGGCAGTGGCAGAGCAGCCCTGGAGGGGATGGAGGAGGCTGCTTTCTAAAGGTTGTTGCTAAATGAGACACCTGGCGGGGGGTGGGGCAAGGGGAGATGTGTGCTGGCACCTGTGGGCTCCTTCCACATTCTTTGATGTGAGTTCCTGTAAACCCTTCCTTCCTCTGGAGGCCACAGAGCCCTAGCTGACTGAGAGGCAATGCATGACCCCTAGCTGACCCCTAGCTGACGCTGAGAGGCACCAGCTACGTAAATGCTTGTTGTGAGATTAAGGGCTGGTGTTTAAATAGCATTTCTGTTGCGAAACCTTCCTAATACAGTTAGTAATGCCTACCCTGTGGCTGACACACAGGAGGTTAGTTAGCTCATTCGATGCAGTTTATCTTCCTGATAATCCTTGGAGATGACCAGGCACAATCAGCTCAAAATTACAGATCAAACATCTGAGGTCAATAGCTTGCACACCCTGAGCTCAGCGGCCGGGTCTGCTGGCTCCAAGCCCAGCACATGACGCAGCCAGAGCACAGCCGGGAAGGCACTGCCTGCATTGGGCCTCGAGGGCTCTCCTCTCCGTATGTGTTCCACCTGGCACCATGGAAGGGCTGTGACCCTCCGGAGGAAGTTGGAAAGGGGAGCAGGGACCTTGTGCTGCCCTCAGCAGGTGCCCGGTGATGGTTGGTCCGTGATGGAGGGGAGGCAGTGATTTTGTTTCCTCTCCTAAGATGGTGCTCTGATCCATTCAAGTCCACCGGCACCTCACTAGAATGCTGGGGTGATGGCGGCAGGAAGGGAGGGAAGGCCAGGACGGGCTTGTATCCCTGCAGGAGGACGCACCTGGCCCATCGTGACACTGGGCTCGAGGGCTTCCCTCCCTGCCCCCAAGCCCTACCAGGGCGAGGACCTCCTTCCAAATCCTTCCTGTGGATTCTCACCTTTCAGGTCAAAACACCGCATTCAGTGCAGCGAGGGGTTCCCTGGACTTGGCTCTACGCCCCTCCCCATCGTTCTTCCCATCAACGTTCCCTGCTCTGCAGGTGCCTTCTCCTTCCTAAGGCTTCCCCCGCCAAGTAATGCAACCGGAGCGCTGGGTGGAAGGTCATTTTATCCTTCGGCCCACCCACTGCGAGGTCACCATCCTGGCCAACTACCAATCAGGTGCCCATGTGCACCGTCCAGCATCGTCCTTGCCTCTGGACATGTCTTCTCAAAGCCAGGGCCACTCCTACTTTAAAGCCCAGAAGAGGACACCACGCAGAAAGATACCCAGTTCCTACACCTGATTGTTTCCCATTTCTCTACATCGTTAACTCATATCCCACCTGCCTCCCTCGCTCGCTCAGTCATTCATTTGACAGACGCCCACTAGCTGCTTCATTTGGCCGGCCAGTCGACAGTGCAGTGTGCACAGGAAGGGCGGTCCTGGAGAAAGGTTAAAGGCAGTGGTCAGCACTGTGACCTGTGAACGGCCTGGCCTGGGCTCTGAGCCTACCTCCTCTGCTCCTGAGCTGTGGCCTGGCTGCTTCCTTCACCTTCTGGCCTCAGTACCGTCATCTTAAAGCAGAGTCCCTGGCAGCAGCTCCCTCAGAAAGTTGTCTGATCATCACAAAAGCTGCCTGATGGGGCTTAACCAAAACCTAGCAAGGACAGGGCCTAGGAAGCCACCCCTGCCCGTCTCGTCAGAACCTGCCTTTTGCAAACGGACACAAGCAAACCCACGCCCTGTCCTACATGAAAGGACGTCACACCCAATGGGGAACGGCAGGGACACCTTTGCTTCCACTCACACAGGAGGGAACGGAAGTGTGAGAACACAGGGAGGGCCCCGTGCACTCCTCTGGGTGAGCACCTCCTCGGGGCCGTGGTCCAGGTGTGCGAGGAGCACTGGACCCGGAGTCAGACCCTCAGAATCTAGTTTTACGTGCAAAAGGCCTGGCGTCTGTCCTTGAACGAGACCCCCACACCGCCCACTCCCATGTGGCCTGCGTTCCCCATCTGAAAAGTGAGGGACAGACGAGCTAAGGGATTTCCAATAGCAATGTCCTTGGGTTCTAAACACGGGCAGTTCTCAGCAACAATGCTGTCAGGAGTGTGGCCCAGGAGGCTCCCTGCACGCTGTCCCCACATCTCCCCCCAGCATGCTGGTGACACGCACAGCATGGATGTGCTGTTTCCTGGAACCCCCTTCCAGCTGGGCCTGGAGAAGGCGGGCCCCAGGAGGCTTGTGTCCTGGCTGCCCACAGAGGGAGGCCCCAGCATTGGGAGGGCTCGGGTGGCACTCACTGCGGGCCCGCGGAAGGGTGCGTGGTCACAGTTCTCCTGCCAGGACTGGTTGAGGCTCTGTGCAAACTCTCGGAAGAAAGTGTGGGATTGGTTGAAAATGGAAAATCCCAGGATGTTGACACGGTCATCCACGAGGCTGTCCACACTCTGGAGCGAGAACTCCTGGAAAAACCCACAGTCAGGAGAGAGCAGAGTTAGGAAGGGGAGACATGGGAGGGACTCGCTGGTACCACTCACTGTCCCGCTAGTCAGATGCACACTCAGGCCATTCCTCTGCTGGGCAGGGAGGCCCCAGCAAGGGCTGAGCTATTCTTCTGAGAGCAGGTGCTGGGAGAAGAGGAAATGAGCATCAGGGTCCCTAAGAGGGTGTGTAGGGTTCGGGGAGGAGAGGAAGAACACTCATGTGCCTGATGGAGGCAGCAGTGTCACACGAGGTGCCCACTGAGCTATCGGGAACAGTGTGTAGGCATTTGCTGGGCAAAAAATGGGAACGGGCAACGGCCACTCAGGCAGAAGGCCCTAGGCCACAAAGGCTCAGCGGGGAGGAAGCGTGTGGCTCTTCCACTCACTGCCCACAGTGCCCAGGGATAGCAGCATCACTTCTCAGAGTGTGGTCCGCGGAACCTGCCACCAGGCTCACTGGCAAATTTAACAGGAGTGATGCCTCTGGTGCCTACCTAGTGCCCCTGAAGCAGGGCTCTGGGGCGCGGCACTTTCAGCAGGTCCGCAGGTGTTATGCACTCTGAAATTTTGGATTTACTGGGTTAGCACATAGGGTACACAGGGTGGGGAGGGATGAGAAATGAGCTGGACAGATTGGCGGGGCCGACCCTGGGCAGAGCCAGTGGAGGAGCTGGCACTCTGTCCTGTAAGCGATGGGACCCAAGGGGGCGGTCGCAGAGAAGGGCCAAGGATCAAATTTGCTTTCTTCAAACCTGCAGGCTGAGGACAGGGCTCCTTTATTATGTCATTTTCATTCATTACAACACTTGGGTGCCTACTGTGCACCAGGGGCAGGCACAGGTCCGTCTGGAGGAGCGTGCAGGCTCAGGAGCCAGCGCCCGAGGAAGTGCCTGCAGCAGCCGTGCTGGGCAGGTGGGGCTGTCCTTCAGCGCAGGCAGCCAGGGAGCTCCCCTCCGGGGAAGTGACATTCAGAAGCTCAAGGGGATTCTCCCAGAACCCATGGCACCTGGTCACCTGGCCCCAGCCAGGTCTCATCTCAGCAAACTAAAACCCCAAGCTTGGGTCCCCTGGAAGCCAGTCCATGTCACGGGAGAACTGCCCTCCTCAGTGGGCTGAGCTTGGAGCCCTGGGCCCCTCTGTTTACTGGGCGCCCTGCGCCCCTGGGCCCCTTTAGGAGGCCAGGCGGCAGGATGTGGATGATTCAGCTCTCTGATCCCGCTCTGAGAACAGCGCCTTCATATGTGGTTCACTTTCATGCAAGAAGTCCCTTTCATCACATGCTCATTTCGAGCGCCTCACACAGAGCCCACAGCCAGCAGGCACATGGCGGTACAGACCCCAACAACCCATTGCCACGCAGCCCGATGGGCAGACGCGGTGCCTGGAGCGGACTCCCTGGCTGCCTCCCCCAGGACAGCACTGCTCTCCTCGGTGGGTCTCTCCCTGAGACTGAGCTCCCCCAGGCCCCTGCTCATCTTTGCATCCTCCCTTGGGTCTGTGCCAGCCAATGCTGGGACCAGGTTGTGCGGAGCTCCCGGTGCAGAGTCCAGCCACTCCATGCAGCTTGCAGTCTGAAGATGCTGTAAAGATCCCTATGGAGACACCAGCCCCTGACACTCTGAGTTGCTTGATGATTCATTGTGTTTTGGGTCCCACCACGTTCCTGTTAGGGGAATGGAATGTGCCAGAGAACAGACTGATATTCAGACTCCTAAGCTGATATTCTGTCCTAACATGGCAGCTGCCCACGTGCTGGGGCTATCGCCAGCGTGAGGCAGATGGCTAATGAGAAGGATGCATCTCAAGGGAGGGTGGCCAGGGCACCAGGCAGGCGGCTGCCAGCACCTAGGGTCCTCACTGGTATGGCTGGGTGGGGACCAGAGAGGTGTCCCCTCTCCCTTGTCTCCTGTCCTGTGGGCAGCTGGCACCTCTCCTCCATCCTCTCCCCACATGCATGGCCTGATGGGTCTCAGATGCCCACAGACTCACTGTGCCGACTGGGGGCATACAGTAGGTAAGGGCTCTGTGCTCAGATCCAGGTTCCTCACCACAGTGATGTATGGCCTTAGGGAAGGCCTTTAACTCTCTAGGCTTCAGGTGCCTGCTTTGTAAAGCGGGAACAATAAAGACAGCGACCTCAGAGGCTGTTTCAAGGAACATATAAGATGCACGCACAGGCTTAGCATCATATCTGCACATGGGAAGTGCTCAACATGTGATAGTCACTGAAATGCTCTATGAGACCTTGGGAGTGCCGCCTTGGAGATCTGAGTTAGGAAGGTGTTTCCTGTCCTGGCCAGTTTGGCTCAGTGGATAGAGCGTCGGCCTACGAACTGAAAGTCCTAGGTTCAACTCTGGGCAAGAGCACATGCCTGAGTTGCAGGATTGATCCCTAGTAGAGGGTGTGCAAGAGGCAGACGATCAATGATTCTCTTTCATCATTGATGTTTCTATATCTCTCTCTCCCTTCCTCTCTAAAATCAATTAAAAAAAATATATATATATTTTAAAAAGGAAGGTGTTTTCTTCGAATGTATGTTTAGTAAGAATGAATATTCACTGCGCACTCCTAGGACAGCCCTTCTAGACGTCAGCCAGTCTGTCTTCTGGCCTTTTCATTCCTACTTCCTTATCCCTCACTATTATATTCTTTTTTTCAAAGTCCCCTTAAGATGAAAAGATCTAGAATCTTCCTTGATAACTCATTCCGTTTATAGTAACTCACGGGAGAGCTTGTAAAAGAACCACAGAGGCAGCAGTGTGTTTCTTATCACAGTGTCCCAGGGCACACTGGGAGTCTCCTCCCTAAGCCCCCTCATTTATGAAACGCTTCTTGTGACTAAGCTTAGCCTCTCTGAATGAACTGAACACTGGTTCCTAAACAAATACGGGAAACAGCTGCCAGTTTCTACACGGTAACACCTTCTAAGCCAGTGCTTCCCGAAGTGTGTTCCCCGGGGAATTAGCTTTTCCAGGAGCCATTAATAAAAACTTCATAAGAAGAAAGTTTCATGTTCAAATAAAATTAGAAAGCATTGGATGAGATATCTGCCTCTTTAAGATTCACATTTATCCACATGTAGTGCCTTACAGATGTGCAACATGGAGCTGCAGCTGGATCCTGGGTCATGCTGCACTTCCCAACATACTGCCCTTCCAGCACACTGTTCTTCCCAGCACACTGCCTTTCCAGCACATTGCCCTTAAAGCACACTGCCCTTCCAGCACACTGCTCTTCCCAGCACACTGTCCTTCGAGCACACTGCCCTTTCAGCCCACCGCCCTTCCAGCACACTGTCCTTCAAGCACACTGCCCTTCCAGCACACTGCCCTTCCAGCACTGTCCTTCGAGCACACTGCCCTTCCAGCACACTGCCCTTTGCAGCACACTGCCCTTCCAGCACACTGCCATTTGCAGCACACTGCACTTCCCAGCACACTGGCCATGGAGCCTCTCACAAGCCATGGCTGCCTCTCAGTTTCTTCTTTCAGATACTCATTGGGAAGTACTGCTCAAAACACAGTGAAACATGCATTATACACCCAAGTTCAGATGATGGAGCGGGATTTTTCATAAACTTAACACATTCCAGGACTGGAGGGGATTAGAGTCCTGGTTCCTGCCCACCACAAGCTCTAACTCAGAACGCACAACTCCCTCGCTTTTTCAGGCCCAGCTCCCCAGCCTCAAGGCCTGGCTGCCACCCCTTAACTAAATGGCAGGCAGGGCTGGGAGCGCTGGGCTGAAGCTGGTATGCATGGATCTTGATTTTTTTTCTCCTTATAAATATGCTGGGAAGAGAAATCCTAAGGTCCCCTCCCAAGGATCTGCATGCCATAGTGGCAGCACCAGAGAGGGATCAGAGGGTGAGGAACAGAGAAATGGCCACCTGGCGAAGCTGGGGGAGGGGAGCGGCTGAGCAGCGGCGAGACCCAGGCCTTCCAAGCCTGCCTGGCATCGGGGCAGCCTGTGTTCCCACAGCCATCTGCTCCCGGGAAGAGGAAGGCAGAACACTTTGACCCCGCAGCTGTGTCTGTCTCCATCCTGTGCCTCGGCAACTAAATAACTATTAACTGTGAACAGAAGCTCAGGGTCAAGCTGACATGAGACATGGTGGACACTGTGCTCTCCTCACCGAGGCCCTGCACCCCCATTAAGATCAGCCTCCTTCCCAGCCACGGGGTGCGAAACCTCTCTGTCCAGGTCCTAGCTCATTAGCCTCAGGCATGTAGCGACCCAGTGCACCGCCCCATCTCACCAGCAGTGCAGCAGGCTGTTGAGGAAGGTGAGTGGAGCTGTCAATCAGCAGTCTTGGCCTGCCCCATCTCTGTAGCAGGACCAAGGATGGGCTCCCGCAGCTGGCAGCTCGCTGTCCAACATGCTCAAGGTCACTCAGGAGGTGTGACCATGGAAGGATTCAGGGCATTGGTCTCTCAGATGACTCCCACAGCAGGAGGGAAATGCACATAATAGGAGTTTTTTGAGATCTTGACCATTTTTGCCTCATTCATTTCATAAATCCACAAGCATTCCCTCTAGGACACTCATCGTGTGTTTGGCACGAGAGACAACGCTGAGCAGGCTGGTCCCTGCTCACAAGGTGCTCATTCTCAGAGGCCAGTGGGAGGCACGTTCCCCAAAATGGTCAGTATAAGAGCCAGGAAGGCAGGCAGAGGTGGTCCCTTCTGCCAGTATTTCTTTTGCTTTTCCTAAGCTGAGGGCTGATTGCAAAGCTGAGGTCTGAGAGATGCTGTCATCAGTCACTGCCATCTTGGCACACATCAGGCTCTGAGGAGGTGGGCTGGACCTGGGTCATAGGACAGGACTTCTGGGCAAGGGCGAGGGAGAGTCAGGTAGCTGCCCTACTCAGGCGACCTGGACAGCGAAGGGCACTGGAAAGATAGGCAACCCAGGCAAGAACAAGGACACGCATGAAGAGGAAAGTCAAGCACTTCACATGGGAAACAGGAAGGCGGGA